GGGTCAGCCCCAGACCAGAGCAGAGGGACCCCGTCCTCCTGCAGGGGACCATGGGGTGGGGGGTCAGCCCCAGACCAGAGCAGAGGGACCCTGTCCTCCTGCAGGGGACTGGCATCGTAGGGACACACTCTGGAGCCCTGGGTGCTGCAGTCCCTCTCTTGGGAACCATGCTCTTAGGGTCCCTCCCTTCAGATTTCACTGGCCGCCTCCTCTGCTGGTGCTCACCATGGCTGCAGAGGCCGCTGCCACGGAGCCGCCCCCAGGGGTGGCTGAGCGGGCGCCCACCTCACGGAGGAAAGCACGCAGGGACATGTCCAACAGGCTCTTCTCCAGCCGGTCTGGGACCAGATACCTGCAGGGTGGACAGCTCAGTGACCGGGCCAGTTCAGGTCACAGCTCACTCTCCCCAGGCTCTCCCCAGCGGCAGAGCAGCCACAGGTGAAGGACAGGACAGAGGCCTTGGCAGGGTGTCCCTCTGTCCCCCAGCCCCAGCCCCAGCATGCACCAGGTCTGGAGGGGAGCGGAGGGCATGGGCAGGGGAGGCTGTTGGAGGTGTGGGCAGAACAGGGAAGGGTGGGCAGGCGTGGGGCAAGTGGTTCAGGGCCAGCACTCACTCAATGACCCTCTCTGAGGGGTTGAAGGGTGCCAGGGAGTCCAGGCCCAGCCGGCTCACCACCTGGAGAGGGGGCGCGTGACCTTAGCCATCACCCTCAGGTCAGGCTTCTCAGGGCCCTGAGAAGGCTCCAGCTCTGGGCAGGCCTGGGACAGCACCCTCCTCTGCACCCCAGGGGAACTGAAGCCAGAGGAAGGGGTCATACCTGATCATCATGTCCCACAGAGCCACCCACAGGCCCGAGGGGCCAGCTACAAGCACTCCCCACCACGAGGCCCCATTCTTGCTACCTGCCTAACGAGGTCTTAAGGTCTGGGACAAGCCCAAGTCCCCTGACCACAGAAGGTGACTGAAAGGGAGCGTCACCTAAATGCACAATAGAATCATAGCAATCCTGCCTAAGACTGGAACTCTCACCAGAAGCCGTCAAACACTCCTGGAGCACTTGGCCAGCAACCATCCCAGCTGTTTGGACAAGCAGAGGGGTCCTGGGGAGGGAGGGGACACTGGAGGGACACAGCCAGGCCTGAGGCTGGTTCCAGTGTGAACAGAGCGTCCCAAGCTGGAGTCCAGGAGTAGGCTCCTGGCAGGAGACCTCGGGAATTTGGGGTCTCAAAGCCAGGCCAGGGTTCCCAGCCAGCACGTGGCCTCAGCTCACGTGGCCTCAGCTTGCGTGGCTCCAGCACTCTGCCATGGCCCTGGGCGGTCCTGTCCCTGAGCCCCAACTCTGGCAAACACCACCCTCTGGGGGGCTTTACTCCCAGGGCCCAGGAGTCTCCAAAGAACCTTCCAATTCCACAGAACCTCCACTCTCGGGCAGACGCAGGACGCACAGGAAGACGTGAACACCGTCAGAGGGCGGGGAGAACCCGCACAAGGCCAGACCTGTGGGGGACCAGACCCCTCGAGCCTCGGGGCCCCGAGCTGGCCCTCTGTCCCCTGCCCTCCATCATGCCCTCCTGTTGTCCTGCATCGCCTCGCTGCAGCCACAGCAGCGGTGGCCATCCTGGAGGGAGGCCTTGTCACCTGTGAGCCACAGAACCTTTCCTTCTCTTGGTTATTCTTGTCGCGTCTTGTGGTCCCAGTGATGAGAACGCTCACTAAAGCACACAGCCTTTACCTGATCTCACAGTGCCTCCCACAGGGACAGCTAGGAAGAAGGACACCACCTGGACCTCACAGCTGAAGCTGGCACCAAGCCCAGGGGACTGGCCTCCCACTGCTCTGGGAGCCTCTCGTACCAGGCGGGTGGCCACCCTGTGACAAGGAGCCTGAGACCAGGCCAGGAGGGACTCCCACAACACAGCTCGCCCTGTTTCTAGAGCACGTCCAGGCCAGTGAAGGTCCAGGAGGACCAAGAACTGGCCGGGCAGAAGGCAGGAGAGGCTTAAGAAGCAGAGGTGCCCTCTGAAGTGACCTCAGGCTGGAAGGCCAGCAACCAGGGTGGGATGGCACCAACACGATGGTGTGCAGACGGAATCCTGGGGCCACGGCAAGAAGTCTCCGGAAAGCCCCACCACATGCTCACTGCAAGGAGCACACCTCAGCCAAGGGCTCTGAGAGCCCTTTTGTGAAAGCTGGGTCAGGATGGACGCTCTGTGCACATGGCTCCACCCAGAGCCAGCCTGGACCCTGGACTGTGATATGAGTACCCCAGAATACCGTGGGATGGTTGACTGTGGACCATATTAATTAGCGTGTGTTAGATAAAGACTGTAAGCATTATGTCCAGGATGTCACGTAGACTGCAGAACTTAGCCCTAAGAGAGTGATGTCAGGGTCCACACCCAGGCCTACAGCCCAGAGTTCACCCAGTTGTCGGCTGCAAGCACAACTGAACTAGGACTTAAAACCCCAGCCTTCTGGGGCCCAGTGGGACTCACAGGATCCAGACAGAGACCAAGACCTCCGTTGCTATTGTCCCCTCTGCACCAGACTCCTCCAGTCACAGGTGAGTGCCTGGGACCCTTGGGTGTAGACTCAGCTAGGGCTTAGAATTAGGATGTGTGTCTGAAGTGCGATGAGCATTAAAGGAACAGGGTGTAGAAACCGCTCCTGACAGACCACAGTGCTCCCCCTGGAGGAAGGCCCAGGAATGGGCAGTTTGGCCCTCCCCCAGAGCCACAGCAGAGAACATGGACGGTCAGGAACCTCCACCGCGTCCGCAGAACAGCAGGGAGAACAAAGTCGTGCCCTCTGAGCACGGGCTGGGGGTGAAGGGGTGGAGGGGGACTGGAGGGGGCTCCACCAGGGGGCCCGCTGGGTGGGAGCATCGGCTCCAGGCCCTCCCTGGTGGCCCGCCCCCACCCCAGCAGGAGACTCACCAGCCTGATGCGTTGCTCCTCCTCCAGGACAAACAGGTTCTCCTTGTCACAGTAGAAGGCAGCCGCGTCCAGCAGAGCCTTCAGAGGCACCAGGCCCACCAGCTGCGAGCCCACCACAGGGAGGCGCAGCTCCTGCTGACCATACAGGCAGGTTCAGCACCTCGGCCTGGACCAAGGGTGTCTGGGAGCAGCGCCCACCCAGGACACAGCCCCAGGCAGCCCACCTGGGCTTCTCTGCAGGTCTCCTCGAAGACTGTGTGCAGCCCCGTAACCTCAAAGTCCAGGAGGTTCGTGGACACCTGGGCCAGATTCTTCTCCTCCAGGTACCAGCCGATGCCTTGGACCTTCCTCAGACGCCCTGGCTGCAAAGGAACCACGTTTCCCAGCCCGCGCGCGAGAGAAGCACCCTCCCAAGTCCCTGCCCAGCTGCCCTGCACGACTGGCCACTGAGCACCAGGGCTCTCCTCGCCCCCGCCCTCTCTCCCTGGGTCGGCTGGGAAGGGACAGGCAAAGTCCTGCACAGAGAAACTGAGGCCCCAGGGGCCTGGTGCTGTGGGACCACCCCAGGGGGCCCCAAGCTGTGCCCATACCATCCCTGGAGGCCTGGGGACACTGACTTGAGGACCAGCCAAGGCCCCACATTCCCCTCATCCTCCCAGCCCACCACCTGCCCCAGCAGCTGCTCTGCTCCTCAGTCCTCAAGTGACAAGTCCCCATGAGAACACGGTTCTCCCTTTAGCCAGGGCACACAGGAGGACTGGAGGGTCGCAAGGTGCACAGCTGGGCAGCTGGGCCTGGTAGGATCCGAGCACCTGGGAGGACAGATGGGCATGAGGTGCCCACTTCCTTCACCAGGTACGTCCTCGTCACCTGTCTGACCCTGGCTTTGCAGGAGTCATACTCAAGCCAATGTGCAGACCTGATGGGGGTGGGCCCTGGGACGTGGGGACATGCCCCTGGGGCTTCCAAGAACCTGAGGGTTTGTAGGGAGACCTGGGGGGTCCAGGGCATCTGTGGGGCCTGCAGGACAGCTGACCTCTGGGCAGTATGAAAGTGCTGCAGTGTTCTAGCCCTGAGTCCATGGAGAATGACTACTAAAGCAAGTGCTCCTGACCTCAAGCCCACCCAACAGAGCTAGGTGGTCAGCAGTTGGAGGCCAAGCCCACCTGGCCAGTGCCCCATGCTCACCATCTTTGCCTGCAGCTGACTCCGAGCTGACCACTTCCCCTGGGTCTCAGGCTCCACCCATAGGCCACTGGGTGGCCAAGGGGACAGGTGGAGCCTGCATGGGAACGTGATGGGGGCACATACAGGGCTTACCTGGTGCTGCCCTCGGCCCTGCTCCCGCAGGTTGAGGGCGATGCGGTGGGCCTGCTCCTTGGTGCTGAGCAGGTTGATGTTGAATGCGATGAGGAACTTCCGTGCACCCGTGACGGTGGCCCCCCAGCTGGGGACAAAGCAGCTGGGGCCAAAGTCAGGCTCCCATTCGGCCTGCTTGAGCTGCAGCACAGTGACCCTGGTTCAGAACAGGGCTGGGTCCACCCTTCCTGCCCTCCCCAGCCCAGCCACCTGTGGGCAGCACCTTCTCAGGGAGGGCCTCGTACTCCCCAGCTCGGATGGCCGGCAAGGTTCTGCGGCTGGCTGTCCGGGCTGCCTCACCATAGAGGTACACTGCAAGAGACCCCACCGAGCAGCCTCAGCCAGCCAGGGTCACACTCGTTCCCTGGACCCTGGCAGGTGGCTCCTGCCACCTCAGTCTGGACAGCCCTCCCTCGGTTCCAGGCACCCCACTCTGTGCCTCCTAGGATGGACAGCATGGCCCTGCCCACGGGCTCTGATGCCCTACAGAGGTCATCATTATGCAGCCAGCATGGGGTGTGGCCAGCGCTAAAGGACGCTCATGGTTTTTTTTCCAAGATGCATGTCCATTGATGTAACACAAATGAGTGCACCCAGAACAGAGGATGAAGCTCGCACAGCCCACGTCACTGTGCAGGGCTGGCCTGGCCGGTGTGTGTGTGTCAGTCCCCACTGCTGGGGGGCACCGGGTGGGGCTTGTGACAGTGCACCCTTCTCCTGGTGGGCTCACTGCCCCGTCCTCTCTCTGAGGCTTGGAGGTGGATGCATCTCGTGGCCCGTGCTGCCACATGGGCAAAGGGGCCCCGCCAGGGAGGACGCCCTCTGCAGAACTGGTGCCCAGCAGGACCGGAGCACCCCAGGCCGCGCTGCTGCTCCCTGCAGCTTCCTCGCTGTGAGGAAGGGCTGGCCTGCGCAGTGCTCACTCAGGGCAGTTTTTTGCTCCAGGGGTCAGCATGACTGGACTGGTGGTGCCCGGGCCCCCCCCACCAGCTCTCACCTGGCACCTTCAGCTCCTCTGCCAGCCGCTGGCCAAAGGCCTGGGCACACAGCACACACTGGTCCATGGTGACGCCCCTCACTGGGATGAAGGGGCAGACATCCAGGGCGCCCATGCGGGGGTGCTCCCCTGCAACAGGGCTGGTGAGGAGTGGGGCTCCCTGGGACCCCCAGCCCTCTTGACAAACCTGATCAGACCCTGACCATCCTCCAGCTGCCCATGCTGACCTCAGGAAAGTGGCCAGCCCCCAGTGCCCAGACTCGCCTTCGTGGGTGGCCTAGCAGGGACACAGCCCATCTTCACTGCCGGGGGGGGGGGACAAGACCAGATGAAGCAGTAGGAGAGCAGGGGCACCCTCTGGACCAGGCTCTCCTCCCACCCAACCAGCCACGGAGCACTCCACAGGTGCCCCCTTGGCTCCAAGGGCACCTGGCCAAGCCGAATGCCAGCCCAGCCCTCCTCCCCGCCTGCCCACTCAGCAGACTCCATCCACTGAGGTGGCCTGGGCGGGATCAGTGCTCCCAGCCCGGCCCTCTGCCTGTAGGACTGGCTCCTCTTTACCCTGAGATAACCCTCTTATCTGGGGCCACCAGGATGCCAAAACCCCTCCCTGTAGAAAGAGACCCTGGTCTTTCACCGGCTCAGCTCCTGTGTCCACTGACTTTTGACCCTGCCTACTGGCCATTGTTTGGTTTTCGGGAGGCTGACAGGTCAGTTTCTGCCACGTCTTCTACCCTTGCCTCCCCCCAGGGCCTGCTGAGCCTGGTGCAGATGAGGGAGCTGTTGGTCACCTCAGGACCCTGAATCTAGGGCGGCTGGTGTCCACACTTTCTGGGCCGGTGGGCTCCCAGTACTGCGTCCACTGGCCCCTCTTTGCCCTCCCCACCCTCCTGGCCCTGGGAGCTCACAGGCCCAGCACCACAGTGTGTCCCAGGACAACGGATCCTTCACGGGGTGCTCCGTAAAGTCTGCCCAGTGGCCCTGTTGAACCTAGACCCCAGACCACTACCCTGACCACCTCTGTCCCAGGACGGCTGGGACAGCCCGGGGCCCGCCAGGTGCGCTGAGGCGCCCTCACCTCGGTGCCTGCTCATGTCGATGAGCCGGGAGGCCGTGCGGGCAGCACTCAGAGCCCCTTCCACCACGCACTCGGGCTTGCCGACAAAGGTGTAGACGGTGCGGTTGGTGGAGAGGCCTGCGTCCACGTCCAGCAGGACACAGCCTGGGGTCTGCGAGATGGCCTGGGAGATGGCCCCGATCACCTGGGAGAGGGCCAGCCCCGACTCAGTCCCGGTGGAAGCTCGGCAGTGGCTGCACCCTGCCCCGAGTGTGGGGCTGAGCGGTGGCTCGGAGCACTTGGGGGCCCTCCAAAAAGCTGAGCTGCCCCCAGAGGCAGCCTGGGGCAGCAGGTGGACCCTATCGCAGGGGCCAGGGTGGACAGACCCAGCAGGGAACAGGACCAGGTGTCCCCTCAGAAGGAAATGGACTGGGGCCTGCTCACAACACCCAGAGGGTGTCCAGGGCACCCAAAGGTGACCAGCAGGCCAAGACCACAGAGGGCAGGGTCCCTCACCCCCGCAGCCTCTCAGTGGAGGGGCATCTGTGGGGGTGCTGACAGTGGGGGAGGGGCTCACAAGCCTAGAACCTTCTGAGAAAAGTGGGACTCACTGCCCGATCCTGTCCTGCAGTCCTCGGTGGCCTGCCTGGCGTCTCTGTGCCTCAGGTTCCCATAGGTTGAGGCGTGACCGTGTCTACCTCAGCTGTGGGGGCTGTGGCAGGGCCACTCCTGGATGTCCCCTGAGGCCTCAAACAGCCCTCCACACTGGTCTTCAAGGGGCCCCCCTCAGAGGGAACCACCAAGGACCCCGGAGACCAGGTGATCTGCCCAGTTCCCAGCAGGGGCACCACCAGCTCTGTGTGCCGCCCCCCGCCGGCCAGTCAGTTGAGTCCCCCACGTCCAGGGCACTGCTAGGACTTGTCCTGAGAAGGCAGCCCGCACCCACAAGGAGCATGCTCCCCTCTTTACCTCACCCTGACCCTGCACCAGGGTCATAAGGCCTCACCTCCTGGTCAGTCCCCTCTGAGAAGTTGGGGACACACTCCACCAGCTGGGACATGGCCAGCACTGCTCTTGAGGGACAGAGGAGGACAGGAGAGGCACTCCGAGGTGTGGGCCTAATGCGGCCAGCAGTGCCCTCCCACAGTGGGCGTCTTATTAACCAGCACGTCAGAGGAGGTGGAGCTGGCACACGGCCGCGCCCCAGAGCACCTGACCAGGCCAGCGGGGGCCCTGAGGACCCTGGAGGTCTGGTGGGTAAAGTCCAGGCAGACGCATCAGGCCAGTGTAGCTCAAGTCCCAGCTTGACCCAGGGCCACTTGCTGACCTTCCAGTGGCCCTGTATTGTCCTCCGATAGCCTTCCTGGTGACCCCCTATGTGACCTCTGCACTCCACAGAGGTCAGCACATCTCAGATGGCAACTGGGGTGCTGTCTGTGTGTGTGGAGTGGGTGTGGGCAGGCGAGTCCATGTGTGAGAGAGTGCACACAAGAGTGTGTGTAAGGGTCCTGGCATACAAGTCTGTGTTAATGTCCTTGCACACACAGATGACAGGCGGAAGGCTTACACAGGCATGGGAGTGTGTATGCATGGGGGTTGGGCACAGCATAGGTGTAATATTTACACCAGCACATCTGTGGGTGTGTGGGTGTGTCAGTGTGAGCACAAGTATGGATGTTCTTGTGTGGATGTGCTACCATGCACATGGATGTTAGCGTGAGCAAGTGTATGGGTGGGTGTGGGTGTGTGGGTGTGTGGGTATGTATATTGGTGTGTCAGTGTGGATGTTGGTGTATGTGGATAGTGTGTGTAGATGGTGTGTGTGTGGACATGACATGGGGGTATGTGTGGATGGTATATGTGTGGATGTTGGTGTGAGTGTGGATGTGGGGGGTGTAGATGTGGGTGTGTGGGCATGTATATTGGTGTGTCAGTGTAGATGTATGTGTGTGTGGATGGTGTGTGTAGATGGTCCCTGTGTGTGGATATGAGTGTGTATGGATGTAGATGTATGTGTGTGGATGTTGATGTGTGTGTGGATGTGTATGTGGGTGTGTGAGTATGTATATTGGTGTGTCAGTGTGGGTGTGAGTATG